CTCGACGGCACTTCACAACAACAACACAACAACCCTCACTATACCCTTCGTTGTTGTTGTAACAACACGTGTGTACCTTCAAATCAGTTCTGACTCACAGTTACCCTATATAGGGTTGATGAGAGTGGCTGGTGGATTTGAACTGCCAACCTTGAGTTTCCAGGTCCAGTGCTTATCCTGGATCACCATACCAGGGCTCATGTAGGCAGTTTAAAAACATTAAAGAAAGAAAAATTAACACCCTGTATTCTACAGAAGTTACTCTCTATGTAGTTGATGTTATGCATTAGACATTACTCTGAATACAGAGTCCTGGTGTGGTACTGTGTGTTAATGCACTGCACTGCAAGGTCGTTTGAACCACAAGGTCGGTGGTTCAAGCTCACCAGCCGCGCCTCAGAAACCCTATGCGGGCTCACTGTGAGTCAGAATTGATTCACCGGCCCTTAACAACAGCAACATGTTGAGTATTATCCTCAAAATGAGATTTGAGGTCATTGAGGGAATATTTACAAAAATGACTTACAAATCCCGAACTCAATTTTTAAGTAGATTGGGCATTTTCTTCAGTAGCTATGCCCATGCCCACAGTGATTCATATTTTCATTTTAGAGAAGGGCAGTATTTTATTTCAGGTGAGGTATAAAAATAAAATCTTCCTTTGCAATGGCTCTAACTCTTATTGAATTTTACAGCTTCAAATATAAGAATCCTTAACTTTCCTCCCAGAATAAATGATCTGAACTAGACACATTCCTTTAGGATTCCACTTCTAAAGTTAAAAAAAAAAAAAAAAAGTTACATAAGGGTTATTTTTTATCATTTGAGTGAAAGTATATGTATCGTTTGAATTTTGGCCATCTTTTAAAAATTGAGTCATTGAAAATAGCCCTTATTTGCCTTTTTTGTCTAGTTCAGTTGTTCTGAAATCTATATTGGTAGTAGAATCACCAATTTTTTTTTTTTTTTTTAATACTGATGTCCTGGGACCACCTCCAGTATTCTACTTTAGTAGCTCTAGGCATGGGTTCAAGCATCAAAGTTTTTAAATAATTCACCTGGTGATTATAATGTGCAGCCTTATTAAATGCCACCGAGTTGGTTCCAACTCATAGTGACCCTGTGTAGGGTTTCTGAGGAGCAGCAGGTGGGTTTGAACCTGCCAGTTTCAGTTCAGATAGACCTTGTGGTCCAGTGCTTATCTTGCTGTCCTGCAGCCCAGCCCTGTCTAATTCACTGAGAAATAGATTATTTCCATTGCTAAATTTAGCTGGTCCCGTTAGTTCAAATTTGGGGACTATTTCTTTTAAATATGAAGTTAAAAAGAAATCACCAGCAACTGCCCCAACTAAATAATTACATAGACTGTTCTATTCAGCCTGACATAAGCCTATAAATTCAGGCAAAAGAACACAACAAAGATTAAAGCTGCAGAGCCAGAACTTGAACTAGGATCCCTAATGGAGATTAATATTTTCTTCAGCAGTCTGCCAGCTGAATCATGGTCTAATTAAATAGTTCAGATTTAGTGAGTTTGCATTTAAAGTCTTAGCAGATCTGAGAATGAGTAAAGCTAAGATGAGTTAGAATCTTTTCTGTAAATGGGAAGTTAAATTATCATAGTAATTTGATTAAATCATTTTTAAATCTCTCAAGCTAAATCACAGTCTTTAAAGAATAGTTTGAAGTCTTAATTGCTGTTTGTGAGCATATCTCTCTGCTATTTGTTCTCGCCTCATTTCCTGTGACATCCTATAATATATCTCCTGCTGGGCAAGACTAGTGGGAAAGGAAACATTTGGGTGGGAGACTGGGGTGACTGTGTAGCTGACTTCAAGCTTTGAAAGTCAGCCTTCTGGAAGAAGTAACTTTTTTTTTATATTGCTCAGGTTGTTAGAATTAGAACAAAATCATGAAGTTTAGAGTTAGATTTGGGGGGGGGGAATAGGAAGAAAATTAGGACCCTCTATATACATCTGGAAATGTCTCCATTAAGGATCTACTTGCTGTTGTTAAGGGCCATGGAGTCGGTTCCGTTTGGTTCCGTTTCATAGCTACCCTATACAGAGTTTCCCAGTAAAAGATCTTCTATCTGTACCTGGAAATGTCTCCATTAAGGATTCCTGATGAAAAAGGAAGGGTGAACAAAATGAGCTCTGAAGACAAATTCAACTCATAAAAGAATTTATGTCATGCCCAGTATTACACCTTCTAGCAGTATAACTTGAATCACAGAAACTTGACTTTAAGTCTAGCTTGAACACTTACTATATGTTTGCTTTGGGAAAGTGACTAAACTTTCCTGATCTTTGTTTTCTTCTTTTTAACGGAGAACTAGTGTCACAAACTTTGCAGGGCAATTAGGACATACAGTGAGGCAAAGTTCGTCAAGTGCCGATCAGAGGCCTCATCCAATATAGGTGCATAATAAACAGCATATTTACCTGTGCAGATTTATTCAACTTATTATTTTGTTCTGGTGGGAAAAAAATGGTTTTCTTTTTTTTCCCCTCTCCTCTCTCTCGGTCTCTAAAGAATACAGTTCCTATTGTTCTGATCAGTTTTAACTTAGAGTACTTACTTTTCATTCCAGAATAGGGTGGACAAATCTACCTCATATCTCTCGCTTTATTTTATGGTTCTTACTGCAATCTTTTGTGTTTTTAGAGACACAGGTTAGTGTGTCTCCATGCCCATTGTTTCTCATTCAAACTGTGTTTAATGGCAAAAAGAGAGAGAAAATACATCAGAGCATGTCGTCGTCATCCCTTCACGGCCCTTTGTACAGAATGTAACACTGTTTGATTCTGTACCGTACTCAAAATCGTAGCTACATTTGAGCCCATTATTACAACCACTATGTCCGTCTATCTCATTGACGGTCTTCCTCTAACAACTCTTGTTGTTAAGTGACGTCAAGTCAGTTCTGATTCATAACTGCCATGCATAGGGTTTCCAAAGAAGGACTGGTTAGGTTGAACTGCCGGTCTTGTAGTTCAGATCAACCTTGCAGCCCAGTGCTTATCCTACCTACAGCGCCACACCAGGACTTCACACCAGCCCTTAGACAACTTCAAAAATGATGTGTACTTGTTTCTGGAAATGAATGAGATCACCATGGTGAAAGGCATCAGATAGGAGAAAACACCAGTGAGAAGCAATTCCCAGGGATCAAGTAGTGTTTATGTTGGGGAGTACACTTTCAGGCATTTTCAACTTTCAAGCATTCCTTCTTTGGGTTCTACGAGACAGGAATTTGATTGTGAGAACAATATAATATATAGTACAAGAGGGTTTCAAAATAGTGGTGGACAATTCATTTATCTTTTAATTCCATTTTCCCATAATTTTGAAGCCCCTTCTATTAGTATGGTAGAGTATATTAGCAACTATAATCCAGATTATTCAAAAATTTAAAAGTTATGTCTATAACTATGTAAACGGGTTAATTCTCTAATGATGTGGAGAGATGATTCAAGAAGACATAAAAGAAGAGCAATAAACAAAAAGAAATTTAAATGACATGTTACTTGTGTATATCCATCTGTTTTAATTACTTTGCCATATTCTTTATTATATGTTTTGTCACTTGATTTTAAATTACATTCCTCTCTCTTTTTGCACAAGCAATCTGATATTTGAATTGTATGAAAGATTAGGCTAACTACATATATCTTAGAGCTCTACATTCTCAGAGAAGTAGAATTATTAAACATGAAGAATCCCCCAAAGACTCCATTATGTGTAATTAACACATAAACTGTCATCAGAATCAATAAAACGTGCTAAATGATTCAAAGTTGTATATAATTAAGTGTCTGTTTTAAAGCCAGAGCTGTAACTTTTCCCCCCTACATCTTACATTTCTCTCAAGAGTAATTGTGGCAACCTTGTTAACTCTTTCTTTACTTGATTGAAATAGATTTTAAAATTAGTCATTTAAGGGCAAAGTTCACCTTCATAAATGTGAAATATATTTCAGAGCTCAATAACCTTTTTTTTTTTTTTTAAAGAAGCAGGCTATGTAAGGACCCTTTACTGAACTATTCATAACACACTGTTGTGGTGGTGGTTAAATGCCATCGCGTCAGTTCCTACTCATAGCGACCCTGTATAGGGTTTCTGAGGAGCAGCTGGTGGGTTTGAACTGCTGACCTCATAGTTCAAATCAACATAGCGGTTCACTTCTTATCCTGTAGCACTACACCAGGACATCTGATAGCACACTAAAGAATCCTAAAGGGATAGGGTTTTATTGTGATTTCTGGAGAGATGACAACTGAACCTAATGTTAGATTCAGTGTATTGACAGACATGAAATTCTTAGGCTTTTGGCCATGAACTTCTTTTCAGCCCCACTGAGAAATGTGCCATCTTGAAGGGGGAAAAAAAAAGTCAGGATTTTAAGCAACTTTATCTCATACAGAACAATGCTTTGATATTAATTCATTCAACAATTGTTTCTTGAATGAATGAATATATAAATGAATGAATCAAAGTATAAAATTGCCAGGATTGTAGTCTTTGAACAGAAAGCTTTCCCTTCCTCAATGCTTAGGAGGAGAAAACACACACGTTTAAATAATCAGAGCTTTACTAAAATCGCCATCAATTCTAAATCAGCATTGGGAGGGATCTACTCTGGAGGAAACACTGACCAGACTGTAGTCTAAGAGGCTTTCTGTTGCTATTGTTGTTAGGTGCCATTGATGCCGTCATTACATGATGTTGTTAGATGCTGACTCCCAGAAACTTTATAGGACAGAGTAGAACTTCTCCATAGGGTGTCTAGATTGTAATCTTTATGGGAGTATATTACTAGGTTTTCTCCATTGGAGCCCTGACTGGTTTGCTGGTGGGTTCAAACCATCAACCTTTCTGTTAGCCGTCTAGCAGTTAAACATAGAGAAGGTCAAAACTAATATTGAATATTCATGAATCTCATCGCTAAGTTTCTTACTATTCACATTCAGGTTTTGATTTTTTGCTTGATCTTACAGACTCCATGCACATAGAAGATGTGGAGGCTGTTCAGAAGCTTCAGGATGTCTTACATGAGGCTCTGCAGGATTATGAGGCTGGCCAGCACATGGAAGACCCTCGTCGGGCTGGCAAGATGCTGATGACCCTGCCACTGCTGAGACAGACCTCTACCAAGGCCGTGCAGCATTTCTACAACATCAAACTAGAAGGCAAAGTCCCCATGCACAAACTTTTTTTGGAAATGCTGGAGGCCAAGGTCTGACTAAAAGCTTCCTGGGCCTTCCCATCCTGCACGCTGAAAAAGGGAAAATAAACCCGAGTGATGTTGAAGAAATGTAGTGTTTAGTTAACAAAATCAAAATCAACAAAGACTGCACTGATCATTTAGCAGCAAGACTATGAAGCAGCTTTCAGATTCCTCAACATCTTCCTGATGAGTTTCTTTCTCCCTTATCTCGTATCTTTTCCCATTTCTCTTCCTCTTTACTTTTGAAGACCCCCTCCTTCCCACTCTTCTTATTTCTTGGCTTTCTCCATGGCTAGTTTTCTCTCGCCCTCATTTCCTTTCTTCCTCGCTCCCTTTACTCTTCTTTCTCTCATCTTCCCTCTTCTAAATTTTTAATGGATCTATTTAAGAAAATACCCCTTTCCTTCCCCTCTGTCCTTCGCCCCTTCCTTTCCTTCTCTTCCTTCTGCTGCTGAACTTTTAAAAGAGGTCTCTAACTGAAGAGAGATGGAAGCCAGCCCTGCCAAAGGATGGAGATCCATATCATGGATACCAGTGAACTTAGTGTGAACCATAATGTCCCCAGTGACTAAGGAATCAAAGAGAGAGAACCATCGTACCTAAAAGTACAGTGCAACATAAACAAATTGACTGAGTGCAGTATTAGATTTCACGGGAGCAGCCTCTAATTACACAACTTAAGCAACCTCGCATTGGCTGCTTCTTATCATTGCTTTTCCCTCTAGATCAGTTACAGCCATTTGATTCCTTAATTGTTTTTTCAAGTCTTCCAGGTATTTGTTAGTTTAGCTACTATGTAACTTTTTCAGGGAATAGTTTAAGCTTTATTCATTCATGCAATACTAAAGAGAAATAAGAATACTGCAATTTTGTGCTGGCTTTGGACAATGATGAACAATAATGAAGGACAAATGAATCCTGAAGGAAGATTTTTAAAAATGTTTTTGTTTCTTCTTACAAATGGAGATTTTTTTGTACCAGCTTTACCACTTTTCAGCCATTTATTAATATAGGAATTTAACTTACTCAAGCAATAGTTGAAGGGAAGGTGCATATTATCACGGATGCAATTTATGTTGTGTGCCAGTCTGGTCCCAAACATCAATCTCTTAACATGAGCTCCAGTTTATCTACATGTTCACAGACACAAAGGATTAGATTACACCTACGAGGAGTCGCATATATAAACACTGCACATGGAATACAGATCCGTAGAATTATTAGGAGTGCACCTCTCTCCACCTGGGAGGTCAGTTGCCATCTGATTTCTAGCTGCCACGGTGGTTAGGAATGAGATACTGCCTGTTTGCAAAGATACAGACAGACCTTTCCCAGAAGGAGCTGTGAGCCAGTATTCACTGAAGAGGCAATAAGGCAAATGCCAGAATTTGAAAAAATAAACTAAAGTCATTGAAGACAGCAGACGCCTGATCAAATTCTAAAACCCAGTCTGTATGAGTTTGTTTTTTCTATTGTTTATCCATTTTGAAATGTTTCTTTAAATTAATCTGCAGTTTTTTACCAAGAGCTAAGCCAATACATGTGCTTTTCAACCAGTATTGTCACAGCATGGAAGTCAGTCAGGTTCCAGACTGTTAAGAGGTGTAATCTAATGAAGAAATCAATTAGATGCCCCCGAAATCTACAGTCGCTGAATAACCAATAAACAGTAACCTCCATCAAATGCTATACCAATGGACCAGTGTTAGTAGCTGCTCCCTGTACTATGTGAACAGTCTTATTCTATGTACACAGATGTAATTAAAATTGTAATCCTAACAAACAAAAGAAATGTAGTTCAGCTTTTCAATGTTTCATGTTTGCTGTGCTTTTCTGAATTTTATGTTGCATTCAAAGACTGTTGTCTTGTTCTTCTTGTGGTGTTTGGATTCTTGTGGTGTGTGCTTTTAGACACAGGGTAGAATTAGAGACAATATTGGATGTACAATTCCTCAGGAGACTACAGTAGTATACTCTATTCCTTACCAGTAATAAGGTTCTTCCTAATAATAATTAAGAGATTGAAACTCCAAGCAAGTATTCATTATGAACAGATACACATCGAAATCATAATAATATTTTCAAAACAAGGAATAATTTCTCTAATGGTTTATTATAGAATACCAATGTATAGCTTAGAAATAAAAACTTTGAATATTTCAAGAGTATAGATAAGTCTAATTTTTAAATGCTGTATATATGGCTTTCACTCAGTCATCTCTCAGATATTGTTATTAACTCGCTCTGTGTTGTTGCAAAACTTTTTGGTGCAGACACGTTTCCAAAACTATTGCTACTTGTATGCTTTAAACAAAATACCTTGGGTTGATGCTCCATCAACCTAGTGCTAGAAATACTGTGTATCTATCATTAGCTATATGGGACTATATCGTAGATTGTGGTTTCTCAGTAGAGAAGTGACTGTAGTGTGACTCTAGATAAATCATCATTAGCAATTCATTCAGATGGTCAATAACTTGAAATTTATAGCTGTGATAGGAGTTCAAAAATTGGCACATCCCTTTAAAAACAACAACACAACAAAATCCAACTCCTGGGAAAAAAAGGTGCTGACTCTATAAGACTATTTATATATGTAAGTGTTTTCAAAGATTATTTTCCAGAAAGTTTGTGCAGGGTTTAAGTTGCTACTATTCAACTACACTATATATAAACAAAGTATATACAATATAGATCTTGTTTTCACTGTATCGCATTAAAGTACTTGGGCTTCAGAAATAAGAGCCAACCAACGAAACATGAGATGGAGATTCAATAAAAGAATGAGGTACTCTTTTTTTTTTTTTTTTTTTTTTTTTACCAGTTTAAGTGATTCTCAGCACTACACGAAAACAAGTGCATCACAAGACAAAACTGAAGTGTAGATCCTCAAACAATTGCACGGACTTTATGGTAAATTTTCATCTTAAACCTTACGTGAGGTCCATTTTGTTGTTCTTTTCTCCAAGTTTCATATAAGACCATTTACTTAAATGTGAAGTTTTGGAAAGTTATAAATAAAGGTGTATGTTTTTGCCATATGATTTTTATTTTAATTTTGCTTCTTTTAAGTTTGTTCTTATTTAAAAGCAATATGATTGTGTGACTCCCTGTAGTTACACTGTGTTTCAATCAGATCAGATTGTTGTATTTATTCCACTATTTTGCATTTAAATGATAACATAAAAGATATAAAAAATTTAAAACTGCTATTTTTCTTATAGAAGAGAAAATGGGTGTTGGTGATTGTATTTTAATTATTTAAGCGTCTCTGTTTACCTGCCTAGGAAAACATTTTATGGCAGTCTTATGTGCAAAGATCATAAAAGGACAAAAAAATTTAAACTGCTTAGAATAATCCAGGAGTTGCATTATAGCCAATAGTAAAATAATAATGATAATAATAAAACCATGTCTATAGCTGTAGATGGGCTTCACATCTGTAAAGCAATCAATTGTATATTTTTGTGACGTGTACCATACTGTGTGCTCCAGCAAATGTCCATTTGTGTAAATGTATTTATTTTATATTGTATATATTGTTAAATGCAAAAAGGAGATATGATTCTGTAACTCCAATCAGTTCAGATGTGTAACTCAAATTATTATGCCTTTCAGGATGATGGTAGAGCAATATTAAACAAGCTTTCACTTTTGATTGCTGTTTTGTATTGTTTTTCTTCCTCCATTTAAAGAACCAAATCAATAAACACTGCCCTTTGTTGCTCCAATTCAAAGAGGATCTCTGAGTACCTATTCCCTAAAAATAAAGTATGAGTTTAAATAAGAGCTATATAAAGTCTTGTCAGAATGAATTCTAGGGTGCCAAGAGACATTTTGCATATTTAAGAGTATGCAAAGTGTCTCATGGCACATTAGAATTCATTTTGACAAGCCTTTATATAGCTCTTATTTAATCTTAAAGCATCTCCACATCATCCTGCATTACTCAAAATCTTCGCCTCCGTGTCAATGTCATAACAGAAAACTTTCCCCCTATTTTAAGATCATATTAAAACCTGCTAGAGATACCTATTATTTCCCTCCATCAACAATTAAATGGCGCGTCGCACTGAGCTCATCAGCAAGCAGCAGGCTTTGTGGAGCAGCAGTGGAGTTGCTGACCAGATTTCCTGAATGGAAGTCAACAGAAGAGCAGCTTATAGATCCGTGTGCGTTAGGAGGGGGAGCTGTCTTCAAATTCAAGAGGGTTAAACAGCATCGCTGACAGCAAATGGCTTCCCCTTGCCGTCTACACTCAGAAAGGTTACAGCCTTCGCTGCTCAGGGTCAAACTGTGCTTCCACCGGGGCCCTCCCGGAGCCATCATCCAAGTGCTAATATGTGCTTTCTTGGCTTCTCTGCCTACCTGGAGAGTGTTTTGTCATTGTGTTTGCCCACCGTATTTCTCACCTTTCAGCTGTGGCTGGTTCTCCAGAGAAGCAAGCTGGTGACACAAAGACACTCAGCGAAATCCATTTCAGGGGTATGAGATTACCTGAATCACTGGATTGTGCATGCTGGCAAGATGACTACAAGTTGTCTTTTCTTATTTTAGCATTCTGTGAGTGGCAATAGCTCAAATAAAATCCAACATATTTTACTTTAATGTTTTCAAAGTACTTGAGCAGAATACAGGGCAAGATAGAAAACCTTAAAAAAGGAAAATACATAATCTACCAAAGAGGGTATCCATATTTAAATAAACATATAGGGTATTTACACACACACATACACACACTCCTTTAAGAAATTTACATGCTAGAATTCTTGGCTGATCTTACAATGTAGAATGATCGATCACAGAGCAACTTTTTTTCTGGTACTGAAATATTTCTCTAACCATGCTTCAGGTGGAAAATTACAATGTAGGTGTTTAACATTTTAACAGGTTGTATTTCTCAATATATAAACAACATATCGATTGGGCAAATGGGTTATGTATTTGTTTTACGGTAAACATAGAAAGGAGCCACTTTTATGCTTACCATGTTTATAAGTGATATTTAAGAAATTCACGTGCTAGCAATTTACACATTGGAACCATCTGGGGAACATCAACTATCACTGGTGCCTATGTTCCCATCAAAGAAATTTTTATTTAATTGGACTTAGATGTGGCCTTTGTTTAGGGAGGTTAAAAAGATTCTCAGGTGAGGCTCCTGACAGGCAACGTTGAGGAAACACTTTTAAAAGTTTCTCATTTGTTTATAAATGAGAAATAAGCCAGAGATATTCTTACCTAAAGGAAAATGAAAACAAAACTCTGAACCTTGCGGAGCTGAAATTCTGTGAGTTT